GTGGTTATCGTTCCTCTGAAAAAAATAGCCGCTGGTTTTTTGAAAAATTTGCAAAAGTCGAAAAAAATGGGAAAACATACGTTTGCGGGTTGATTGTGAATTTTTCTTCAGTATTGCCTCCAGCAATGACATAGTAGACATCGCTATTTGAGAGATCACCCTGAATTTTTTTTTGAAAATTTGTCCATCAGAACCCAAATATGCTTCCATGCAGTAATCACCAAATAGGGGCGCATCCACTTCGCTATTGGTCACATCGGTGAGCTGACCAATAGCGAATGGATGAAGTGGAACAAGCGGATTAAGTGGACAACCGCTTTGCTATTGGTTAGTTCAGTGAATTGACCAATATGGAAGCGAATCAAATGCATCAAGCAGAACAAGTATGGCGCGTACCATAGAAAAACTCAAAAACTCAAACTAGCATTCAGGAAAAAAGTCCATTACCGTACCCCAAGTGAGACGACCACGGTATTGATTGGCGTGTTTTCAGCAACTTCCGTAACGAATGTTTGTATGGTCTCATCTTGTTCTGAAATAGCATATAAATAAGCAGTTTTCAGAAGCCAATTGAATTAATCGATATATCGATTTTTTACTGATCCTACCAGCACTTGCTGATGCTGGGACTGTTGTTGTCATGTAAGCGGCCGGATGTGGTACAAAAGTTTCCATTCCGGGAAGTGGAGCAATGCTGGCAAGGCTGAACATTGTGTGAGTAGCCAAAACAACTACGATAGCCTGTGATTTCCTGCCACCACCGTCTTCAGCCTCTATTACAATCTGAAAAGGGTTAAACTTGAGTATTTCCGTCAACGTCAAAAATCCTATCGTTACAGTATCCTATTACCTGATATCGTTCCCCCGGTGTGAGATCTCCAACTGCATTCAGCATGTTTGTTGACGCATCGTAGCGGAATTTACCCTCTCCGCCATTTGTTATCTAAATATATTTAGTGGTAATTGTAGGAAAATTGTCCTTGCAAAAATAGGAATTTTGTCACTTTTTGTGCCTCCACTCAAAAAAAAATTTGGTGAGGTGCAGCAATACTATGTGAAGAAATGATGAAAAGCTTCGATGCTGGGAAAATCACTAGAAATGCGATCTCTAGCATGACTTTGTGAACTTTTAATAAAAGATGAACTCAAACGAAAGAAAAATGCTGGTAATTCCTACCTTTGAATAAAAAATTCAGCCTAATCGGTGTGTTTCACCTTTATTTTTCAATA